AATAAATTGGCAAATACAGCTGTCGTAGAAAAAGTCAACAGTGAGTGATTTTATAGTAACGTGTCTGAATGTTTCAGTGTGGGCTCCTGTATTGACCTGTGATTTACAGACGACTGTCAGCGGACGGACCGGGGTCGCAGGACACACACACAGTGACTGGAGCGCACACATTCCAACCACATGAAGAGAGATGAGTCCACACACTGACACGTACAGAGCCGGACCACCCTGTAACCGCTCTGACAACGAATCCCCCCGCGACCCCTGTCTACTGTATGCGCTCACAGGCGTGTGTGGTCGCGTCCTCTTCTCAGGCTCCACGCCGACTCCTGTCCGGGAGCAGCGCAGACGCGGAGTCAGACAATGTAAGGTGAGATTTGTTTGAGAGTGTTGTTTTAAAACACTGACGTGTGACCCTTGAGCAGCTCCTCCGAGCTGAACGAGCGGAGACAAAAGGCGGAGCGACAGAGGGGAGGATTTGAACCCATGTCATCATCAGATGCCATGACTAATGGTAGTGGGGTAACGGTGGTGTGGATAAACTTGGACACATCCAGGCGACTACATGCAGACAGGCCTGACTGACAAACCCTCAGGCCTGGAAACCTCCGTGTGTGGCCTCCACTCTCTGGCCCATCACCCTCTACCCCCCCCCCCCCCCCCGTCTCTCCCTCTCTCTCTCTCTCTCTTTCTCTCTTCTTTTTACTTCTTTCATAATTACAGATTATGGTCATTAAAAAGATTTAAAGTCACAAACCTCAATGGATGGTTCACTCAGAATCTTTTCAGGCTCCAATATCACAGGCCTAAATTTTGTCGCTCACTTAATTTACCAGATTTAAAATTCACATTTAAGTTATTGTAAATTGTACATTTTGACCTGTGTAGTAAAAAAAAAGAAGAAAAGATTCGTAAAACCCTAATGAAACAGATACAAGTCTAAGATAAGATTCGTAAAACCTAATGAAACAGATACAAGTCTAAGATTTAAAAAAAAGTAAAAATTCCAAAATGAAAATAAGATATATTTTTTAATCTCAACATTTCTGAAATAAATTATTGTTAATATTTTCAAATTAATTTGACAGATTGAATAACAAATTGCATTGCAGAAATCCGAGTAAAAAATCACAGAAAAAGGTTAAAAAACAAACATGAAATCTGATTTTAAAGGGTGAATTATGAAGTTATGTTAAAATTTCAGTAAAAGATCTTTAGATAAATCATTCATATATGAATAAAATGAGAATTAAGATAATTATTTAATCCTTAATTCCAGAATAATTTGAATAAAGATCATTCTGTTCCGATAATTTCTTTTTTAACTATGATGGAAAAGTGTTTAGGAAAAGTCAGTGTTGTGATTCAATTCTTAGGATATTCATATAAACTCTATCATTTTGGATTAAAGCCCAGGTTCTTCATTAAAGGCAGAATTTTCAGTGGAGAAAACCATTTGGCTCTAACCCCAGATTTATAATGAGGGAAAAACTTCCAAATTCGTTTACTTGATTTAAACGACTTAATTTTAATTTCACCATTTTTAGTATGACGTCATCCTCCGTCTTTAATGTCACAGTAGAAAATATAAAAAATCATATCGTCTGTAAACGTCTGTTGTTTTTCTACCTGCAGGGAAATGGAAACCCTCCTCTCCACGTTTTCTTTTTTACTTCCTACCACTTTGCTGCCTCGTCTTCCCCCCTAAACCACTTTCCCCTCGCCCCCTCTGCCCCGCCCCCCCCTCTTCTCCTCCTCTGGAAAAAAAAAAGTGGTGGGAAATGATTCAGTTTGCTGGCATGCATGGCAGAGCTGCAGCTGGACGCTGCACCTGCAGCGGAGAAAAACAAGCTGACGGCTGCATGTTTGCTGTGTGTGTGTGTGTGTGTGTGTTTGCTGCACGTGTGCATGCACTTTCTGAGTGTGCAAGGTCAAGGATTTGTTTCTCATCCATCAAACTCAAAGCCTTTTTTTCCCCTAAACTTCCTCCGTGACCTTTTTTTTTTTTAACAACTTTCCTCCTTTTTTACTCATTTATAATTCTGCTCCCACAGAAACCGCTTTCAGACAATTAAAAAAAAAAAAAACCCCAGGCCTCAGACCCAATCATGGCCTCTTGGGTTTCCACGTTAGGGAGAACTCCACAGGAAATGTCAGGTATCATATGTGTGTTGTGACAACATAAATATCAGGGGCAACACTAGGATAATTTGCTCCTGATTGAATGTGGCACCTGGGAGTTACGCTCCAACGGCAACCCAACTTCTTTTCCTGCACACACTCGCATCGCTAACGCAGACGTTTCGTTTTTGGGTTCAAGTTTTTTTGGGTTTTTTTTGTGAGAAAAAGCTAAAGGAGAGAAAAGGAGCAAAACAAAATGATGGAAAATGACATTACACATTTTATTGTGATGGATGTGAAATGGCGCTCGGCCGTCGCACCTCCCTGCCGCCACAGATTACTCTATAAATCACGTAATTAGCAGAGGCAACCGCTGGAGAGGTTGAAATGCGTGTTTGCATGTTTTGAAATGAGGTCACTTCAATTTCTTTTTGCAATTTAATTGCCGGTTGATTTTAATGAGCAACTTGACTTTGATTTCGAATCAGATGAATGTCTATCGCACACGACAGGAGCAGAGATTCTTGACTCAGGACTGGTTTCAAAAAAGAAAACAAAATGCCGTAAAGTGCCGTAATAGCTACCTAAGTCGATGGTTTCACTTTTAATCCAGGTTCACTGCCTGATGAGGTCCATCTGGAGTCACTGTTGTTAAAAAGGTTTATATGTACGCAGATGACACCCTTATTTTGCAGCTCTGCATTTACACACACAAGGTGGTGCTCTCAGCTGCAAGTGTATGGTGGTCAGTGGAATAGTTTTGTAGGTGGTGCTCTCAGCTGTATGGTGGTCAGTGGAATAGTTTTGTTTGATTGTTTTTCTTTAATTCAGACGAAACCATTTTTCATTTGTTGAATTTCCAATTAAAGGTACATTAATTCAGACGAAACCATTTTTCAGTTGTTGAATTTCCAATTAAAGGTACATTACGTAAATCAGACAATACTTTGAAGAGTAAAAAATATTACTTTCTCTTTTACACATCACTCAGTAAAATTTAAATTTGTGTGTATTATATACTTTTGGGCGAGTTGTGGTGAGCTAACGTGGCCTCTAGCGTTTTCGTTTTTCAGTCATTGAAACAAAGCATGTCTCTTCCCTCTCTCTAGTTTTTATGTCGAGTTCAATACTGTGTGGACACTGAAACTTGTTGCTACTTTTGGTCTTTTAAGGTTTGTTATGAAGACTTTTCGTACATTGATTTTGAGTCTATTTTCAGTCTGATCGCTTCATAACTGCAGTTGGTCTGATAATAATTGATGACTGTTTGCTCAAATGAGTTCTTTTTTGGAGGATTGCAGATAAGAGCGCTCTGACTCACTGGCTGCAGATGCGTGACATTTGTGTTCACGGTGGTCAGAATATCCCACACAGAGTGGAAATACAACAGGGCAGGATATGAGCTAAAGGGACTCAACTCCTGCTCACTGGAATTAAACCATAAACCATAATTACGTCCGCACTAACGAGCCAGTTGCGTTGGGCAGGAGCCAGGTGTTTAGCAGGAAACTGTATGTGACATTTTGGGTTTGGTGTTCTCCCGTCTGCACACATACACAAACACGCACCCGGGGCCTCTGAAGCCCTGAGTGAGTTGAGCAAACATTTCTGCCGCCGTCGGTGATCCTCTCTCACCACGTACATCCATCTTCCTGAGACGCCTCCTGTCCCGAACACGGCAGCTTTCCCACCTTGGGAGCCGGATAGGAAGCTGTGGTACGCTTTTCACATTTGTTATCCTGTGACAGGTTCTCCTCACATAAGTGTTGTACGGCAGTGGTTTCCCAATTATTTCAGTCTGATGCAAGACTCACACTAACTCCACCCCCACTCTCCCCCCAGCCAGAGCTGTGGGATGAGCTCAGCAGCTTCACCATAAACAACAACAGTCCTTTTGGAAACTGCATTTTAGCTGATTTTACTTGATGCGTCAATATATGGAGAAAACATATGTTTATGTGTGACATAAATAAATATACGCTAATTCTACAACATTCAGAACCACAAGTAAAAAATGTAGCTTTTCCAAACTAGAGATTGCAAAGAAGAAAAAAAAGAAATTTAACCACAGCGAGTATAATTTCAGTCCCAATACTGCCACCTAGTGGGTCTGTTATCCAGAAGCAAATATTTTTTACCCTAACATTTCCAAAAAAAATTCAAAAATAGAAAACGGTGGCAGAGGGAAGTATCCTTGTACCTTAGCTCAAATGTCATGCATTCAGTAGGGGGCGACTTCCGTCACTGCAAAAATAAAATTATATTTGTGTTTACTCAAACATGATGTCAATTTTTAGAAATGTTTATAATATTTTGTCTGTTTAAAATAGGAAATAATTGATAAATGACTACAAATATGTCCATCTCTTATATTTTTAAAGCATTTTTTCACACATCACTGGTCTGTGCTCTGCTCTGCACCTGTGATCTGTTTTCGTGCTGGCTCAGATGAGTGTTTCTCTACTCTGGCAAAAAAAAAGTGCTTTGTTTCTATGACTCAAAAACTAAAATAGCGAGGCTGCCACCTCCTCTGACACCAGGATGATCAAATAAAACCAAACACACCAGGATAACAGATGAATTTTCTTTTTTTAAATCCTTTTTTTCCCTCTCAGGATTTTAACCTGTAATTTTTATCACAATATTGTAATGCAAAAATATCCTGTAAATCTACAAACTGGGAGGCTTAAAGTTGAATTAACTGAGATGTGTTTTTGAAAATAAACCCTCGAAATTTTTTTATTATATTATTTAATTGTAACTGTTTATTCCTTTGTAATATTTTACATCATTTTGTCTAAAGAAAATTTAAGAGCAGTAAAACAGGCCGCTGGTTAATCCCTGTCAACGAGATCATTTAACCAGAGAAAATCAACCCATAGAAAATTTAAAAGCAGTAAAACAGGCCACTGGTCAATCCCTGTCAGCGAGATCATTTAACCAGAGAAAATCAACTACTGCCCTCTGCTGGATTAAAAAAGACATCGTACCTACAAACGTTCAAGTCAAATAATAGTACATTGACAAAATAAGTAAACTATAAATTACTGTATATTTATATGACAAATATATAAAATAATAATAATAAAAAGGACTTTAAACAGGTTGTTAATCACTGCAGCTTCCATCTGTCAGTCAGTCATTGGAGGACGGTCCCTGGGCTGGTACTGAACTAAAGTCCCTTCTGGGTTTGTTTGTTATTTATTCTCGTGTCATTGCTGGTCAAGAGTCGTGTTGCTTCATTTCTTGGACAGAAATTTCATTTTGTTTCCTGAAAAAAAAAAGACCCAAAGTGTAAAAGACCCAACAATAAATTAATCCTCTATTAATTGTATTTCTATCAGACTCAGATTCTTACCGAGGCCTTTGAGGAACCTGTTCACTCTCCGGTGTTCGTTCTCATGAATGGAGTCCAGATATTCCTGTACCCTGACTTCAAACAGTCCTAGGACCAAAGAAAAGACAGGATCATGATCACAGTATCTGACCTCAGTACTGTATCTGACTGCTACTCCCTCGTGTACCTTTTAAGGTGTACTGGTAGAGCTCCCGCTCCTGAATGAAGCAGCTGAACATCTGGGTCTCCATGAACACCTCCAGGAAGCGGCGGACAGTCTTGGACGGGATGGATTTCCTGAAACGTTCCCACTGGAAGGCGCAGGGCACAGGGGAGGAGGACGAGGACGAGTACCCGTCTTCCCGTTCGCCAGTGATGAAGAGCGGATAATGGCCTACCAGCTCCACGAAAAAACGGACAAAGGCCTCGGACACAACGGTGCTCAGGTGTGCAGAATCTGAAGAAAAGTTACAAGAATGTGAAATGTTTTTTTGTTCAATTCTTTTTTTTTCTTTTGTCCTGTGATGTCATACCAGAAGCTGCGTCTCCTCCTCGCTCATTTGCGAGCTCTTTCCTCCGTTCTAGAACATTCTCCAGTGCTGACTGAAGCTTCAATGGCAGGATGGAGTCCTCGTCATCCAACTACACAGAACAAACAGGTGAAATCCCAGTGTAGAAATGTACAGTCTGAAACACTGCTCAGTCTAACCTACCTGTCTGAGAAACCGACTCTTGCCCAGATCCACAACAAGGACCTAAGAATAACAAAAACGACAGTAATGTAATGCACCTTAATGACGTCACACTTCTGTTTACAGCTGTGAATAATATCCTGTTTTCCTTAATAACTCATATTACTCACCTCCTCCAGGGGCAGTTCAGTGAGCTGGGGCAGAGAGCTGGACAACAGGCCCACAATAAACGGGGTCGGAGTGCAGACGATGTCCAGCATAGCCGAGGGCAACACAGGGATGTAAGTGTGCTGCCATACAAAGGGGTACAAGAGCGCCACCACCGCGTGACAACACTGGGAGAGGGTACTACAAGAAGTAAGAAAATGTATTATTTTTTAACGTAAGGAACACGCAGATTTTTTGTGTTCGACTCCTACGTTTTGTTTATTTGACTACTGTGGATTCATGTGAAAAAAACGGCAATCCAATATGGCCGCCTGTTAGTAAAATACCTGCTCTTTAATTAAAGAAAATTGACTTTGTTTAAAGTTATTAAAAACAATTCACGCTTCTATTTGAGTGTAAGTTTAACTCGAAGTTATTATAGTCTATTATAGTCGTTTTATGCTAAGTACGTCTTGAAACAAGAGTAATATGTAGGATTTATGAAGTATTTTTTCCTGAATATGCAAACACATGCTCGTCCTCAACACATGAGGGCAGTGTACGGTATTGTTGGGTATTCCCAAACGCCACATTTCCAGTAATCCTCATATTTGTATTCCATTTACGTCACTTGACTCGCATTCTTTGTTGTTTTTTTAAGTACGACTACGCTCTCTGATTCCCACTGGTATTTTTAATGTGGAACAAACAAACTGAACTCCGCTCCAGAACAGGAAGCACGGTGTCAGAATATTTCTATGCCACGTTCTTGGAGCAATATAAAAATACTTTTTTTTTATCCCCTTGTGTGTTGTGCCCCATCTATGCAAATAAGTGAAATTTTAAAAAATACAAAAAATAGTTAAGATAAGTCGAGATATGCATCAGTCTGTCTTCTCCCGATATTTTAATGATGGTTGGACAATCCTGCGGAGTAAATGTCTGACCTGAGGTTGTCGGCAGTGAAGATGACTCTTCTCTCCAGCAGCAGAGAACCAAACACTCCAAGAAGGAGGCGCAGACTTAAACACGAGAAGAGACATTCAAAGTCCACATGCTCCAGGCGGGAGTCAGAGGGACGACAGAGCTCCATCACCTACGGAATTAGTTTTTATATCAAAGAAATGAATGAAATAGTTGCTTTAGAGCCATACTGACGTTGAAGCCACCATAAACCTGTTTTGTTTTGTTTTTCTGACTCACCTCAGTGCCTGAACCAGGGAGGAAGGTTTTGACAGTGATAGTTCTGCCTGGTGCTGGAAACTGGGCCTCCATGATGGCTCTCATGAAAGGCTGCACCAAGGCTGGAGACAGAGCTCTGCGTCTCTCCACCTCATCCAACACCTTCAGTTGTGAACATGAACACAAACACAGAAACTTTGAGAACGTATTTATTCCCCCGTTTTTCTTACTGTGAAGTGAAGGGAACGTGACTGGACCTTTGAGAACAGGTTGAAACAGCCAAGATGGCTGACGATACAGTAGACCTCTGGTAGACGTTTGCCTTTCCCACTTGGCTGAAGAGAAGAAAGGAGAGTTCATATCCTTTAGCATTAGCAGGCTAAAAGTAAAAGGAAGGTGAAATTCTTTTTTTTTTAAATTTTGGCCTAGGCCTGAGATTCTTAACCAAAGGGGCACGGCCCAAACTTTGAACGCCAGCACCATCTATAGGGCCACAAGTGACTTTTAGATTATCACCTCAACATGACCAGAGATATGGTATCTATGAGAAGTTACAATGCAGCTCTCAACCACATGGTGGTGGTGGTCAGCTCCAATAAAGAGAGAATGTCTCTACGCTAGCTGTAGCAATAAGTTTGGACAGAAGATTACATTTTGCTATTTGTTAGTGTTAGGTAATGGGTCCCCGGCCACTTTCTACTCTAACATTTGGGCCTCAAGGTCAAAAAGGTTAAGAATCCCTGCTCTAGGGAACATTTCCACACACAATCAAATACATAAGGACGACTGAAAATACACTCAGAGTTGCTGGGACACACACAGAGACTCCTACCGTACACTCAAACACACTTTCCCAGACTCACACACTTCCTCCCAGTCTCTGAGATGGACTGTTTTCCCACAGGCACGTCGACTATTTTGGCAAGTTTATTTATTCAGCCGTCACCGTGGTATTTGTCCACTTCCTGTCCAACATCACCACTCTCACTGTATTTGTTGTGTTCACTTTCATTTACCAGTAAGCGCCGGCAGTATCCGAACCTCCTGCTCCCATCCTCTCCGGTCAGAACAAAGGAGAACATCTCACTGTGAGACACAATCGACCAAGACAGCTGTATTAGAATCATCACAAATGGAAACTGCATTAAAGTGATGTTTTAGTGCCATGGTTAATAACTGTTTCCTTGTCTTTTTACATGGCCTCTAGGTGGAGTATTTACTACTGTTTGCCCCAGAGAATAGGCGTGGACGCTCTCACCTCGGGTAATCGTCCACCGACTCCCAGTCTTTGGCGTCAGGGAAACAAAACTGAGGAATGATCTTCAGCTGATCCTCTGTTTCCTTCATGAACTTGAAGTTCCTCTCCAGCTGTGAACATACAATTCATCATATTTTTTAAAAAACAGTAGCATCAGTACTATTTCACTGCTTCAGTATCAGTATATCAATTTTTTTTAATTATAAAATCATAAATTAGTCTTGAACAGATGTTTTCTTCGAAACCTTGGACGCCAAAAAAACAAACTATACGCAAAAAAATGTAAGATGAGGTTCACAGACCTTTGGCGGGAACTGCTGTGTGACCTGTGGCAGATAGAGGGCGCCATTCTTCGACTTCTGCAGCGAAACTACCAGAAAATACTCAAAGAGCTTGCGCTGATTCCGCTCCTTTTCCAAACAGCCTTTTCTGCTGTCAGTGCCATTAGAGTGAACATGGCTCTGATTTTGCTGGTTCAGTCTGGACTTCACCGCCACAAGGCGGTGACGGTGAGCTAGAAGAGGAGAAGTAGTTCATTATATGTCAACATAAATATAAACAGTCAAACTAATCCATACAGTGGAGGTTAAAAAGGTCACATCTCTACCTCTTCCTCTTTCTTCAATTTCACTCTCAGAGTCGCTGTTGTCATCTGTTGCTATGGAGAAAAAGTTCATTTATCCACCAAAACAAATTTGTATTTACTTTTGTTGGCAGGGGCAGACGTCACAGTACTCACCTCGACCAGAGCTTGTCTCAGCGTAGTGATAGATCCTCCTAAGGTGTTTCTTCCTAACACGACCTTCAAAGATGCTGTTGATTCTCAGCACCATCTGGTGGAGAGAGAACATTCAGAGTCTCTGTGAGTATGATTGTTTTTGTTCTTGGAAAAACTCTCAGGCAGGTGACATGATGGTCTGTTTGGGGGTAAGGTGGGGTACCAAACACACACCGTGGGTATCCTGCGGCAGGTGCGGTTGCAGGGATCCCCTTGCGTCCAGGTGGACGTGTGTTCAGGAGCAGTAGGGGTGCAGGGAGGGCTGAGCTGGGGGGGAGATGCAACGCCCCCTCTGTTGGATCTGTGGGACTGTAGGTAGGTTTTCTGCACATCTGCCTGTTTTAGGCTTTTGCCAGAATTCGTCCTGAAGAAGCCTGGTTTTGAGAACTAAAAACAAAAAAATTATAATAATATATATTTAAATGTACCTCCGACCATAAGTGTTAGTGTGTCGTGTCTTAACCTTGTAGTTGTCAGCCCCAGGGGAGGGGGGCAAAGATGTCTTAACCTTGTCAGCCCCAGGGGAGGGGGGCAAAGACTGCTGGGAGCACTGACTCTCCAACTCTATGTCTTCATATGGGTTCTCTTTGGAAGTATCTACAGAAAGAGCAAATATTTGAAGTATTAATTTAAATAATAAAATAAATCATTTTAAATAATAGAAAAAACTGTCGGTTGGCTTAAAAAGTGAATTAAGATAATTTCAATAAGTTAAAATAATTATCCCTTTTTTTGAAAATGTTGCCACATGACTCACAGAGTAAACAAGCTATAATTTATCTTTAGTGAGACAGTTATAATACTTACAGTACTTACATAAATACTGAAATACTGTAATACAAAATAACCACAAAGTAGTGCATAAACAGCTGATACATACAGGTATACAAGGTTGCAGTTAAAGTCTCGACTCTAGGGTCATAATAACAAATGACTCAAATAATACCAAAATAGTTTACGTCAGTGTTTTTCAATCTTGGGGTCGCAACCCCACATGGGGTCATCTGGAATTCAAATGGGGTCGCCTGAAACCTCTAGTTTTTAAGATTATGATTAAAAACACCACACACCACCTTGTGGTGAAAAGGTTTTTGTAATGAATGATCCAAGAAACAGATCATGTTTGGCCACCAGTAAAGATCACATGATGTCTGACCCAGGATGTCCTCGTAGTGATGTTCCTGTGACAGAGAACGACAGAGGAGCGACTCGATGGACCCTTCGTGGTCTCTGAACTCAAACGACCTCCTGTGAACAGACAGAAAACAATCATCATCTTCTATCTTGGGAGCTCACCACAAACCATCATGTGGCCCAGTCTGGTCGACTCATTACCTGTTGATGTTGACTCTCTCGGGCCTGGTTCTCCTGGAGACCCCAGAAGATCTCGTGGACGTGGATGGCAGAGGCGGCAGGTTCCTCTCTCCTCTGATTGGTCTCAGGTTCGATCCCCTGTGCTCAACGGCAGGATGCTGGAAAGTCCGTTTGGGTTTTGGGACCGGGTTGATGGGCAGCGACCCAGGTTCCGTGTACACGTGTTCTTTCGGATGCTCCTCTTTCTTCCTCTTCTCCACCTGTTTGTCCTTACCAGGAGGGCTGAAGTAGTTCCCCAGCTCTGGGGGAGTTCTCCCACTGTTCTCCCCCATGGCTTCAAGTTTCTTAAAGAGACTGAACACCGCCCTCGTCTCTTGGTTGCTTTTTTCCGCAGCTCTCTTGTCCGTGGTTTTCTTCATTACTCCTACCACCTCCTGCTGCTGCTTAGGCTCCATTGCTGGACCCTGCCCTGAACTTCTGACCTTCTCCACATTCTCTTTATCCAGATCTCTACTGTGTTTTATATTAGAGTCCTTCTCCAGGTGGTTTTTAAAGAGCGAACCGTTCCTGAATGTCTCTTTTGGTTGTTTCCCATTTTCAGCTGGTGAACACGGTCTTGGTTTAACTTTAGAGTCTTTCAGGCCGTTTTTTCTCTTTTCCTTTTCCTCGCTTGACTCTTCCTTGGAGCTGTCGTCTTCCAGCTCAGCAGAAGGATTTCTTGTCCGTTGTTCTGTCCTTTTCAGAGTGCCCTGACCTGCGGAACCTGAAGTCATGGCTGAATGAGAAGGTTCATTTCTCTCCCACAGAGATATTTTGTCCTTTATGTTTCCTCCGTTGGATCTGGACAGCGTGCTGCCCACCAGAGAGCTGCTGTTGTCACTGTAGTGATCATCGAGGTCCTGTCTTCTGTGAGCCATCACCGAGTCTCTGAACAGATTCTCTAATGTGGTAAAAGGAAGCGGTGGTGTAACCTTTCCTTTGTGCTCAGCTCTCTTGTTTACCTCTAGGATGTGGAAACGTCTTCTTTCTCCAGGCGTTTTCTTAAGACTAAACAAGGAGTAAAAATAAAAAGTTAGCATTTGGAAAATTGAACAAAGTTTGAAAAAAACAAAGAAAGAAAGGAAAGAAATTGGTGTAAAGGAATATCTGACAAAATACACAACTACTTTAACACATCATTGTTAATATAATTACATATATCAGTGATTATCAACTGGTGACCAAAATTTTTTTTCTTTTTATCATTTTCGAGGGTCCAGCTCCCAAAATGTCTGTCCACAAAAATTCCGGTCCTTCGACAAATATAGTTGGTGACCCTTGACATACAGTATAATTACTTATAATTACTATCATGAATAACCTATTATGATTAATTTATTTATAAACTATCATGAATCATAATCATAACCTATTATGATTAATTTATTTATAAATCAGTCATATTCTTCCACTTCAATTTCTTAGGGTCCCTTTTCTACATTCAGAAAAACACGTATTTCTTCTTAAACTCTCATTCACTGTCATCTGATGTTGATTTGATGGCGATGTTGATTCTACATCCCATTGTGAAACCATGGCAACATCAACCCTACGTGTACGAAAGCACAGTCTAAAAAATCTCTAAGTAGCTGAATAACAAATTTAAGATCGTTGCACTTTTCCATGGTTCCAAAAAAACAACAACAAAAAAAAACCATAGTTAATGGATGATATTTTTCTCTGGGAAAATCCATCCAGGATAACGTTAATGGATGATATTCTTCTCTGGGAAAATCCATCCAGGATAACCCTACGACCAAACATCTTCTTCTCATCAGCCTCGCTAAATAAACACACGCTTGGACCGCAGCCCATTTTATCAAAGAGTTTTACTGATATAAATAAACCAGAGGAAATGAGAAGACCTGGAGTTGATGATATTTTTATATTTTTTGTATTAATGGACGTGAGGAGTGAGGAGTAACTCAATCCCATGGTTCTCAGGCTCAGCAGGAGTTTTTGTTGTTTTTTTTTTAACTACAGTAATACGATCCCGTTCCTCAGATACCAACCTGTTGACAGTAGAATAAATGCGGTCCTGCTTTGTTTTCGTTCTCCCGGTGGCCTCCATGATCACTGCACACCTGAAGGAGAGGATAGGAAGCAGTTGTCATTCAGACACATGCAGTGTTACTGTATTAATTCCTCAGAGTTTCAACACTAAGATTGCCTTTGACTCACTGTGCGGTGTGATATTAATTCAATACTAGGATTGCCTTTGACTCACTGTGCGGTGTGACTCCAGTTCACAAAAAGTTTCACACACTAAATCTTAAGCTCACTGTGTTTATTCTAGAGTTGATTTGTTAAAAAAAGATATGGAAAGCACCTTGAAGTAGAATAAGTTAAAAAAAGAATTAGGCCGGAAAAGTCAAATGTAACCTTAATAGCTAAGATTTAGCCAAAAGCTAACTCACGTAACATAAAGATTGCCATAAAAGTAACATAGATGTTCTTAGAAAATATAAAGAAATTTAGTAGAAAATGTCTTAAATGTTTATTAAAACCTAAATGCTAGCAAAAAGATATTCGAAAAAGTTCAAAATTTCTGTGAAAAATTGTGGGAAAATACTGCACACATCGTCGACATATACAGTATGTAGATTGACTTATTTATCAGAAAACCTTCAGTAGTTTTGTTAGCAGCCGAGGTCCTGCTACTCGTCACTCGCAGCAACATTTCAACAGCGGTCACTGATTCATTCCCTCTGCTCAACACCACCGCCTGATTCTCACACTGACGACTTTTCCTTTGACCCCGGCAGCAACAAAAAATGCTTCGTACTTCCTGTAGCGACGACCATTTTCACCTCACTGAGGCTAATGTTTTCAAGTTCAGTGCCCTAAAGGAGATTTTCCCAGCTCTGGAAATGGTGTCGTTTGTTAAGACGACATGTTGTCCTGACGACTGTGCCGTTCTTTACAGCCCTCAGAGCGGCAGAACAGCAGATAAGTTTAAGGGAAAATGACATGAAGATGTTGGATTACTGCAGGACGTTCAGAGAAGAACAGCTGCTGTAGCAGATGTGTTCTGTCACCCAAGTCTAAGGGTGATAAATCTCATAATTGCCTCCAAAATGATGAGATCAAAGCAACAGCTTTATTCATTTTAATTAATTTTAGTTGACAGATTAGAACTCAACTATTTTTTTTATCACAGATTGTTGAATTACTTATAAAAGTTGATTATGGTTTCATAAGGATATGGTCACTTTTCCAGTCTCTACCACCATCCGCTGAGTCTACCACAGATTATTTTGGATAAGATATACTGTACTCCACATGGTCACTTTTCCAGTGACCATCCTCCACCTACCACCATCCTCTGAGTCTACCACAGACTATTTTGGATAAGATATACTGTACTCCAAATTACAATGTGACTAGATACATATACCAATTAAAAATATCACACTTTAAACAGAGTTAACAATTCCTACCTCTTGCTGTGGTATGGACTCCATGTGGTCATTGATAACATGGCAGCAATTTTCCAAAGATTCGACCGTTACAGTATCCATTGGACGATTCTCCATGTCCCAAGAGTTAATGTCGGCAAAACAACTGTTTCTGATTCGATCTAAACCTAATCTGAGTTCATCGTCACCACAGACTGCTGAATAAGAAACTGGGTTAATCTCCAGTTTCCATTCTTTCTCTCTCTTCCCTTATACACTATGAACATGACTCTTATGCCCCATGCCTCTCTCTCTCTCTCTCTCTCTCTCTCTCTCTCTCTCTCTCCCTCTCTCTTTCTCTCTCTCTTACCCTCTCTCTGTTCCTTTCTCCCTAACAGTTTAGCTACAGCTTACTGCTCTTTGCAAAAAAATATTGAAAATGTCTATATGGTGTCCACATCATAAATCACAAATATACAATGTACTCAGCAGAAAATGTATAACCTTTACAGCTTTGATTAAGGAAAATGAACGTGGCTCATAATAAATAAAGAACTTCTATATCTTTGGAAACATCATAAAATTAAATATCTAATTATAAAAACAAACTATAGACCGAATATATTCTTAAATATATATATAAAATATATAAATATAAGAAAAACTAAAATAATTAATTTAAATTTATATAGCTACATACATATATATGTATATGCTGTTTTATACAAAGATAAGCAGGATGATGTCAGATAGTCACACTGACCGGAAAAACGTACCTTTATGGAACTGCCCAGTATTGAAGTACAGCACAAGTTAAGTACAGTAGAGTTCCTGTTGCAATGTTGAAATAAAGTATTTTGGCGGTGCATGTTTTAAAGTACTCTTCAGCAGCCAATAGTAAGTTGCTGTACTTGACAAATGTCACAGTGACAGGTGGGAGCCGAGCAGCTGTCCGTCTGCGTGCGTCTCGTGCAGTACCACCCCTGTCCTGCTAGTGTCAGCAGCGCTCCTCTGTTCTCTCCCGCAGCCGCTGACATGCAAAGCTCACATGAAAGGAAAAAGCATCTTTCGCTGAGTGAAGCAAACACGCCCGCTGCTGCACACGGAGTGGCAGCTAACGCAACGGCGCCTCCACGTATACGTAAGAAATACACTCTTTTATTTCGCCACTGATGTGAATTCGATCATATGTTTAGTCTCTGCGTGTTGGTGTTCGTTTTATTGAGTGTTTTTGCTGTAAACCAACCCGGAAGTTGTGGTACAGAACGTTATGTGCAGTGTCTCAGGTAGAGAAGAGCACCGACTAACAAGTCGGATTAATTAGAACCATTTGATTAAAATAGCACTAATTGAATATGTAGCCGAATGCATTGTGCTAGTGGCCTTGCTTTTATAATAAAATGTAACGTGATGTTGTGATAAAGTTGTATATATAATAAAGCAAAGCGACGTCAACAACAGGAACTACCTAAGAAATAAACAAGCTATAAATCTCCATTTTTACCACTTACTCAGTGGAAGATAACGTTCTACCTTCTGTTGAGTTTTTTTTAGTGTAATTAAAGATTATTTTTCAAGAGAAGCTTACTGTTTATTATTGCGTCTTTTCTGATTAGATGCCATTCAAATTGTGTGTTGACACTCAGACGTTGCCCTGTGTCTATAAAGAAAGGGCAAAGTCATGTGTCTGATTGTGACAGTTTTATTTGCGCTTGATTTTTAGGTTCAAGCTTAGATAGATAAGGTTGGCAGACAGGATGGCTTTTCTGGGTGGAGTCAGTGTCTTCTGCAAACTACTGTACAGTCCACTGTACAGTCCACCAGGTTATTGAGCAAAGCTGTTCACTTTCATATGAAGTATCTGTTAAAGTCATAGCAGGTACAGTACGTACAGTACTTGCATTGAAGTACACACAACTTGTCTCTTGTGTGGTTAATTAATTCAACTGCACTTTTCCATTTACACAGCCTTGAGGTATCGGCACTGACACGGATTATTTGTCAACGTTTTGCATCTGTCGTGTCTCAGGGGCCAGTTTTTTGTAGCACAGTAATAACAATTACAATTTTAACATTTTATTTAACGGAACAGAAAAGCATGAGCTAGTTCGCAGTAGCTCAACTGACCAAAGGAGAGGAAAATATCTCCAGGTGGTATCCTGCAACACTGGGCCCATTGATACCAGTTACTTAGAGTACATGGTTCAGTATGTACTAATGCCCTCACTGATATTTCTTCATGTTAGGATTCAAAATATATGCCATGACTGTAAGGCAGTGTTGTATAGTTGGCACTGTGGGTAATCAGGTGACCTGCAGTATGTAGGTGTGAGCTGTGTTAACATAAACCACAGTGAGGGAAAATACTTAGAGTTTTGTTTTCTTCTTATTAATTCCAAACAATGTTCTACAAGTCTAATTCTAATTTAAAAATTAAGACTTTTTGCATAGTTAACACAGCCACTTGGACAGAAAGTGAGCAGAGCTTTTACACTGATAGCATATTTTAAATTGAAAAAACCTGCTTTGTCTCTTGGTTTCCAGTAAACAAGTGTCACAGTTTCTATGGTTCAGTGAATAGTGCTCCACAGAAAAGTGACTTTTTGAGGTGTGAACTCCTCGTCAATACACTGTGACGTTAAACCGAGAAGAGACATTGGCATATTCAGAGCGCAGGCAGGTCTTTCAAGTGTTTCTTGGGTTTTGTTGTTGTTTTATTATAATTGCAAAACAACAAATCACACAGTAGGTCTTCTCCTGTCTTTGTCCCTGATTTTAACGTGTCTCCAAACTGTTGATATTTTTGACAAGACACTGAATTGCAGTGGGAGAACACTGGCCAATCGTGGAGTATCTATTGGCACAAGACTACCACACTTGATACTGACACTGTTTTTTGGCTCAAAGTGATCACCTGAGTTCTCATTGCTGTCTTTGTTCTCCAGGCACAGCTTTGTTGTTGTTCTGGTGATGTGCTTGTTCCGTCTGGACTAGTGGGGACCGTAGCTGCCCTTGTATCCTGTCCTGGTCCTGTTGCTGTTTTTTTATTTTCCTCCCTGACGACCTCATCTGTCCGCTACCTCGTTCCTCATCCTACGCCTCCTCTTCCTCCTCCCTCCTGCCCCTGTGATGCCTTCCCCATGCTGTGGCTGCTTGTCACAGTACACCAATCATCATCTGGTTGCATTTTTCCTCACCTTCTTTAGGTAAAACAGACTTACAACAAAACTATGTGTCTCCACAAATTGTCACAATGTACGGGACTTGAGTATAAAGGGAACATTGGAATGAATTGTATTTTTTTTTTAAAACAATGGAACTCACAAAAAACAGGGAACTACATTTCCAAATGGTATTTTTAAGCTCGAGCTGCTTCGGTAAAACAGAAAAGTTTTTCAGCAGCGTGTGTAAATAACATCTGTATTTACATTGAATTAAAGCAGTGGTAAGTTGATAAGACACTGTAATTATTGGATATACTGTGCACGTCATTCTGCCCGTGTGAGCCACATATTCGTGTTCATCCACTGGTAGTTAATCTGTCCCACGTCTGGACCCAGGTCAGTGCCGTCGCTGTCAGACACTGCTTATCAGCAGCAATGCAAAGCAACGTCTGCAGCAGCCTGTGAGCAGTACAGTAGTGAACTCAGCAGTACAGTAGTGAACTTAGCAGTACAGTAGTAGTGAAGAAAGCCGAGGATTTTATTACTGCTCATTGGTGTGTGTCGTTGACCGAGTTTCTTAATAATTCTCACAGTAAAATCCAATAAACTAATTTATAATCTGGAGTCATTTCATCCAGAAGTAAATATCAATCAAAAGCAGAACTCAGGTTTTTATGTCCTTAGATTTATTCTTTGTGTTGGTATTTCACTAACTGTGATATATTTTACTCCTTTTATTTTTTATTTTTTTACTTGTGCCTGTCTTGTGTTCTGTCTCTACAGCTATGTGTTGCTTCATGCATCGCGCAAGACGTTCAGCAACGTTAAAGTGAGCATCTCAGCCCAGTGGACGCCGTCAGTGCAGAATGGCAGCACATCAGCTCTGTCACCTGACCAGGTGGGAAGAACGGCCTGAAGCACAAAACAAACGGAAAAAGACAACTGCCACAGTTATATACACGCTAAAACGAGTCTGTTTATTAATCCTCTGTTGACTCTTTAGCTTTAAAAAAACTAAAAAAGCCTCTGGGAAAATTAGCCAATGACTAGAGCTTAATTTGGGAACAGTCAAGAACTGGTGTATATATGTATATATATATATATATATATTATATATATATATATATATATAATATATATATATATATATATATACACATATATATAGTTTTATTTATATATATATAGACATATGTCTATGTTTATATATATACATATATGTATGTATATGTGTGTGTATATATATATCTGTGTATATATGTCTGTATATGTATGTATATATATGTCTATATGTATGTGTGTATATATATGTACTGTATGTATGTATGTATATATATGTATGTACATATATCAAGCTGCCATGCCATTTCGCTACCATTTACTTTGTTTTTCCGACCTTTCCAGACATGGGGGGACAATCATCTCTTTGAAGATGAAAAGCAGGCGACTCTCTTCCTGGGAGCCCTGGACTCCATCTTTCTTTTTTCATACGCTGTTGTAAGTCGTTGGTGACATTGGTAGATTGAGTGGAGTTGATCACTGGCAGTTTAATAATATTTCTCTCGTCCACGCAGGGCCTGTATTTGAGCGGTGTGATCGGGGACAGAGTCAATCTGCGCTACATGCTGTGTTTCGGCCTGTGTGGCTCAGCTGTAGTGGTGAGTACAGGTGTAATTGCTATTATTATATAAGAAAGATAAATGGACTTAAACTGAGTTAACATAAAAAACATTAAAAAAACGCGGCGGCTATTTTTCTTTCTTCTTCTCCATTACAGTCAATGTTAGAATTAAGAAGACAGAAAAAATTACACATATTTCTGTACCTACTATATTACTAGGCAGCCATTGATGATGTAATATTTACAAGTAAATGTGTGTCTGTTTGCAGGAGTTTGTCTTTGGCACTCTGACTGAATGGCTCCACATCTACAACATCTACCTGTACTGCGGCCTGTGGGTGTTGAACGGGCTGCTGCAGTCGACTGTGTGGCCCTGCGTGGTGACTGTCATGGCCAACTGGTTCGGAAAGTCGGGGTGTGTGACATTTCTGTGCTCGGGAAACCCGTTTGCGCGTGACTCTGCTTTCAGTAACTAACAAAACAACTCCCTGTTTGCCGACATTTACTTTTGAGCTTTTTCTATCCACACCCAATTTTGGAAGTTCGCACAAAGACGCCCATTTATCACAGCGTCAAATGTCAAAACACAGACGTCATTTAGACTCAGGTTTCCAGAGTCACTGAACTTGAAAAACAAAAATTGTTCTTTGACAAACTCGTGTGTCACCTTATTACATTTTCTTTACATTTAAAACAATTTTCCCAAAAATTTAATAAAAACTTAACACTATAAAATTTTGAAAAAAGAAGACTTGAAACATTATAATGATTTTTTTTTTTTTTTTCCTTTTAGGCGGGGGTTTGTGTTTGGTCTGTGGAGCGCCTGTGCCTCTGTTGGCAACATCCTGGGAGCTTTCTTAGCCTCCAGTGTGCTCAAATATGGATATGAGGTAACAGACACCCACACACAGACATGAATATTTAAATCATAGAACTACTAGAGGAAACATAGCCCCCAGCTTTGTAGACAAATATCCTGTTGCGTGGCCTAAGATGTGCAAATGTCACTGATCAGCAGCTCTCACTGGTCAGCAATTGTCAGTTACCCTGGGTGACCTCCAGGGATAGAAAATAAGCAGTAGTTCTGAGTAAAAATACCTGTAAACCCTCTAAATGTACCATAAATATTCCAATCAGGATGGTCTTAAATACCACTATAAAACACAAAGTTTTATATAACATAATTTTATATAACCTTAAAGTTAGCCAACTTACATAAATTAAGGTTAAAAGTGGCTAAAAGTTGCTCAAGGCGAAACGCTCGGTGGAAACCAAAAAAACAAGTTGATCCACAATTGCTCAGCAACGAATCATGGGAAAAACAGCAAAATTCCACTACAGGCTCGGCCACAGGTACCTGAACGTACAGCTAAGCATTTCTCCCCAAGTGCATATATGTATAGATGTACATGTACTGTATATATTTATATATATTTATGTATATATATTTGTATGAATATTATGTATATACATATATTTTTTTTATTTTGCACCTTCTTATTAACACTGTGTCATGTACAGTACGCCTTCCTGGTGACCTCGGTGGTGCAGTTTTCTGGTGGGATTGTGGTTTTCTTTGGTCTGCTAGCCTCCCCAAAAGAAGTCGGTAAGAACAACAACAACAACAACAACAACAACAACAACAACAACAACAACAACAACAACAACAACAACAACAACAACAACAACAACAACAACAACAACAACAACAACAACAACAACAACAACAACAACAACAACAACAGCAGCAACAACTCTGTGGTGTTGCCCTGTCTGTGTTCTGACCAACATTTAAACCTCCTGCTCAGTTTGTGACACTTCTGTTATTCTGGGTGCCTCTGCTTACGTGTCAGGTTTGAGCATAGAGTTGGAGACTGGACCTGGCCCAGTGGAGACGGACGCAGACAGCCACAGGCCTCTGATGAGCGACGACGAGGAAGAGGTGGAAGTGTTTGACAAACACTGCCAGACCATCCAGCAGGCAGATGAACCGGTGTTTGAATCCCCTCAACCCATCAGCTTCATCCAGGCCTTCTGTCTGCCTGGAGTTCTGCCGGTGAGTCTGAGGCTCCAACACAAAGCCAAAAACAAAATCACAAACTGCAGCCATTTTACCACCAGGGGGGGCCAGGTACCACATCTTTTAACCGTGTCCTCTCTTGTTTCTGTGTGTACTGCAGTATTCTTTGGCGTTCGCATGTCTGAAGCTGGTCAACTACTCCTTCTTCTTCTGGCTTCCTTTCTACCTGAGCAGCAACTACGGCTGGAAGGAGGCGGAGGCCGACCGTCTGTCTGTGTGGTTCGATGTGGGAGGAATCGCCGGTTTGTGGAATCTTTACTTCATAACACAATACAATTTAACACTACAGTCAGTTGCCTGGTTCTGGGAGAAATTGGGAGTCCCAATTTATTTCATTTTTATAGAACTGTATCTGTGAGAACACATGAAACATTCTGATGTTGGAGGTCAGAGTGTTGATATTCTTCAAAAAAAAATTAAGAGAAAGGTCAGCCTCATTGCATAACAGGTTTGAATTTGAACTCTAATTATAAAATAATTTTGTTAAGGATAAACAAGATTAAAGTTCAAATTTTTGAGGCAGAAAAAAATGCATTTCTTCTTTTATTTTCTAAATGAATTCAGATTCTGAACTTTAATCCCACGGACAACAGCTCTGTAAAATACATTTCTATGCGGCCCTGAATAAAAATCCAATTCATTCTAATTTTTAAATACTTAATTTCTTTTTTTATTTCATGTGACTTCACTCTGATGCCGTGTTTGTATTAGCATGACTTGTGCTCACGTGTTCTCTGACTGGCTGTTCCTGTGTGTCAGGTGGAACTGTTCTGGGTCTGATCTCTGACCTCGTAGGAAAAAGAGCTCCGGTGCTGACGGTCAGTCTGGCCTTGGCCATGGGGGCTTTGGTGGGCTACAGCCGTAAGTTCTGGCCAGGTTTATACATGGCATGTGCAAATGTATTTTTTAAAAAATGAGACAAAAATATCTTGACTTCTTGGTCATGTCCGTCTCCCGTCTAAGGGTCTCCTAATGACAAGCTGATCAACAGCGTGCTCCTGGCACTGACGGGTTTCTTCGTGGGCGGTCCGTCCAACATCATCTGCTCTGCTATATCTGCTGACCTGGGCAGACAGGAGGCGCTGAGGGGCAGCCAGGAGGCTCTGGCTACAGTCACTGGAATAGTAGACGGAACTGGGAGCATGGGAGCCGCAGTTGGACAGGTAATGGAGTACTGGGAAGTACTTTACCATATATTTTGTTACAGCTCATCGGATGATTGGATCATGTTGACAGTGAGTCACAGTAACGTGACTAATGTTTGGTTCCGTGTCTCCACCACCTTCTAGTACCTGGTTTCCCTCATTGAGAGTAAGCTGGGCTGGATGACTGTGTTCTACTTCTTTGTCGTCATGGTAAGTGGACTTTACGTTTCTTAGACTGAATTAGTGACAGTTATGACGGGGTGTTCTTTTAGTCGTCACCAGGTACCATTTAATGGTGCTGGGGTAAATAAGAGGGGTGTGTAATTCTGTGTGTATGTTATGACTGTGTTTTAATCCAGACTCCACTTGAGTCTTTAGGGATTATTTTAGCTACATTTTCCATGGTTAAATTTAATTCACTTCAAGGATCATTTTAGTCCAAGTAACTGAAGAAAAATTTACGGTTAGTCTTTAATCGAGTCCCCAAATTTAGTAACTAAGGTCGAAGTCATCAAGGAAAAGTAAGCTCGAGTCCACCTCGGATACCCTGGGTTTGAGTAAGACTTTGAGGCCAATGGTTTCTAGTTTAAGTCCCAGTCAGTAAAGTAAAAATGTAAGCCGAGTCCAAGTCACTGATGTTGAAAATAATATCGAGTCCAAGTCAGGTTCAAGTGATTTAAGTTACAATTGAAATAGAGTCAAAGTCGAGTCTCCCACGTTTCATATCTCAGTCCAAGTCACTGAACTAAACTTTAGGTTGAGTCCAGGTCAGATCTCTGTTTCAGGGATAAGGTTTCTGATTCTAGGACAAGGTGAGTTCATGTCGACTCCCCAGATCTTTGATTCACAGTCTTCAAGAATTGAAAAACCAAACCGAGTTAGAAGTTAGAAAAGGAAACTTTACTTTGAAGACCGGGTTGGAGTTCCAGTACTTTGAGTCTAATATGCAGAAGGAAGATCATAGTTAAGTCAAGGTCCAACCTTCAGATTTCAGTCACAGGTTCTAGTCCTCGTCCAAGTCACAGAAGAGCGCCGAGTCCACCGCCCGACTTCTGAGTGTGAGTAGTAGGTGTTTGACATAATTATGTTATCTGTGCAACAGACAGGGGGCAGCATTCTGTTCATCACTCCATTACTGGTCAGAGAGATACAGGACATGTGGAGGGACAGACGAGTGCGACGACACCAGCTGTGAACCCCTGACCCTGAGGTGACGGACCACGTCATCTCCAGAGAGTGAAAGCGCAGCAGGTCTGCTCACTGCTCAGGAGCAGCTGTGGGTGAGTTGTGGGAAGTTTACTGTCAGTCAGGTCCTTCAGACCCAGAGCTTTACCCACTTTACCCACATCAACTGACGCAGTCTTTGAGCACAGGAATTTTGCGATGTGAATGTGAACATTCACCCGTGACGTGTACAGCCAAAGTCGATGGGAGAAGGTTTAGAGTTTTTAAAGGGAAACTGACTCTTCAAAGTATGCTAATGTACATATTTGGGGGGGTTGAGTGTGCAATATTTTGAATGCACAGGTACTTGAGAGTACAGAGAATGTGAACTGTTGGTCATCTTTGACCTATCGTCAACCTGTGTTATATTTAATTTATTCCGTTCTTTAGATTAATTAGAAATTATTCTTAAATAATGAGGTGTTAGTAACTCACAGTTTAGATGTGATTTTTAGCCTTTTTTTTTTTAATTTCCTAATGGCTGTACAGTTTTATTTGGGAGAGGGAGGGACCTGTTCAGCTTTTTTAAACGCAAAGACTTTGTTTATTCTTGTAGGTTTTTCCACTGTTTAATTTATCATTCCTTTTTTAAAATTTTTTTTTTCTTTTTTTTATGATGAGACTTTATCATGACACGGCCATCTGAATCTCATTGGCTAAAACAGTTCAACCAAAATAACCACAGATAGCTGGGCCAGTGATGCCTTCACTGTCCTAGGACAAAACTGTGTAACAGCACCCTGCAGAGATCTAGATAGTTATATTAGAATTCATGGTTGAGTTATCGTTCAGAGGTGGAGATGCTTCTGTTTAAAACTGAAGACAAAGTCAGTGTAAATATTCTTATGTTACTTTACTCTGGACGGTTGGAGTTTTTTATTTTCTACGAGTTTAAACCTGAGCTGTACTATCTGTACTTCACGCGACAACACTACACACAAAGTAACAATAGGAAAAATGTGTCTTTCCTGAGTTTACATTTTAAGATGTTTTAAGACATTGTTTATTAATTATAATAATTCTGCTTGGATGAAGATGAAAGACTGACATCAAACTGTTCATTTTCCAAACACTGACACAGAGACGTATGAAGTGATGTACGTCAACAGTCTGTTTAACATGAAGGGTACGTTTGAGCCACTATGTCATAATGTGATATATCACAGGTGGAGTTGATGATGCTAATGTAGTTCTTTAGAATGAAGGTTGAGCCTCTGATGTGTCTGAACTATAATGGGATGTAAATCATAATCTGTGGTCAACTCTTACTGTTTATAATCCATGTTTACATCTTTTTAATTTCACAAGGTGACTGTAAATGACATGGTTGTAAATAAAAAAAAGTTCAGAAAACATCTTTGTAATGTTGCACAAAACCTCTAGGTGGTGCTGGGAACCTTTTGAACACTTCTTGATTGCGTTAAAATAACTCGTCTTGGTGAAATGCATTTTCTGTGCAGAAAATGGTTTACTTAAAAAGTTTGTTTTCTATTGAACAGATACAACCACTTAAAGTTTACTTAAAGTTTGTTTTCTATTGAACAGATACAACTTTAACAAAAGAACCTCATATTAATTGTTCAAAAACCAAAATATGTTAATGTTTTTTTATTTTTTGAAAATACAACCATTCCCTCAGCTGCCACAGTGTTCACAATGGTAAAAACTCATCACACACCTGTGTAATTAACATTTTAACAATACAACTTAATGTAAACCAGAGAAGTGTAATGAGCAATAACTGCTCATTTTAAAGAAAAGTGACTCGTTGCCTTTGAGCAGCACTAGAGTAGTATATAAAAAGTCATACTTTGTTCATAGATAAAAACATTTACAAATCTTGAACATTATCATTTTTTTTAATTAACCATATTTAAGAAAATAACGTGTTATAAACCTTTAACCTTTAATAGTACATTTAAAATATTTTCACATTATAGTCAGCTGAGGAAAATGATAAATAAGATAAACACGGTATACATCAAATATTAATAATACGATAAAAAAAAAAGTCTGTTTCATTAACTAGTCAGTCAGTACTGTGGTCAGTCGTACATAGTGAGGTTGGACCACCAGTCCTCTGCTGGGTCTTCCTGTTCGCCTCTACTGCCAAGAAGATGTCTTATGCTCCGGGGGTCTCCTTTTCTTCACCATAAAGAAGTCTGAGGTTTGAAGAAAGACAGAGTCGGAGAAAACAGTTAAGTAACCTGACCTTAAATATGTTGTGGCCAATGGAAACTGTCTTTAAAATCGTGAATTTTTCCAGAATAATCCTCTGACTGACCTGTGATAGCAGACTGTCTGTGTTTCCCTGACTGCCTCAGACTGTAGCTCCCCCTTGGGGCCGGCTTGAGGTTATCAGACCCGGACACACTGGTGGACATCGTAGGAGCCTGGCCTGATGACGTCTTCTTCCCCGGTCCAGATGCCCCTGGTCTCATCAGGTAGCTGTGGTAAAACGCTGGTACATCTTGGCACCGCAGCGCCTCCCACTCGATATTAGAGCCCTCTCCTGGTTTGTCCTTCTGGAAGTCGAAGTTCCAGCGTTTGTTGGCTTCCTCCAGGGCCACGCTCAGCAACCTCTTCAGGTCCTTATCCAACTGCTGGTGGTCCACAGGTCCAAAGAGGTTTCTCCTCAATGGTCCCACCTTCAGGTTCAGCGCTTCGACTCCTCCTGGGTGACATCGTTCTGAGTCAGACGTCGGAGATGATCCTGCCGTCGATGTTGACGTAGAAGCCATCACCAAATATCTATGAACAAAGTCAGGCTGTTAGAAGAAGGTCAGAGTTTTGGATCTGGATCCATCAGAGTTTCACACAGGTGAGAGCTGAGCGAAAATATAAAACACACAGACATGCTTTTAGAGCATGTTTCTGTCCACCTGCTCTGGTGTCTAAGAGTCAAAGGTCAGATGTAAAGGTCAGCAGAGCAAAGACCGGAGCAGGCGATTCCTCATCTGACTCATCCAATTAGAGCAGAGCTGTAGAATTCTGACTGTGCAGTGGGAAATGACGTCGTTGTCATGTGATCTGTGTTATCTCTAAATAGCACTATTTTACACAGAGGTGGGAATTGCTGACTGGCCTCTGTGTGATATCTAGCAGACAAAGATAAAGTACTGAGCAGACAAAATACAGCAGGTATTTTCTTTCTTCTGATAAATACTATTTCTGCATTCACATAGTACAGAACCTAATTTAACCCCTTTAAAAACAATACCACAAAAGTCTTATAGCAACAAATTAATGTACATGGTTATACTTTTCCCCAATAGAGATATTTTGCGTTTTAATAATTTTCTAGGAAGTAAACAAACGGCATTTATCTTCAAGAAACCTCTTTAAATAAAACGTCACAGCCCAACACTTAACAAAAAACCGTCTTAGAACGTTTTGTCATCAACTTTTCAGCAAACGATATAGTACGAAACAAATGTGAAGAAACAACCATAAAAATAAATAAATAGATACAAACGAAATTACGAGGCTAGTTTCGGTCGGTTACCGAATATAAATGTAGAATTGAAAAAAAACGATCGTTAAAGTTTGAATTTGCCCACACAAACAGCACAAACAAACGGCATAAATACAGCGTTTTTCTCGGATAAATTGTAGATTCTTGTTTATGGCTTTATAATAAATACAAATCAATACAAAATGTAGATTCTTGAAAATTGATGGCTTTATAATAAATACAAATCAATATATTTCCGCTTACCGTTAGCGGTTGTGACTCAATTTTAACGCTGCGGTGGACTGCGCTCGGTGGTTCGGTCGGTGAGAGAAGAGGCGTGACCGCGGACTCCGTGGAAGGAAAAGCTGTCACGATGACCGGTTGTGGTGAAAACCTTCTCTCGTGAAAGTGGCGGAGAAAAAGTAAGAGGAAGAAAGCTGGTCCGGTCAAAAAAGTCGTGGCTTTAGTGAGTGACTTTGAAAACCTGCTGCTTTAATGTGTCACAGTGACGTTTCAAAACATCTTCGACGTCACGACTAGGTTTCAAAGTTTACAGGATCGCAGTAGGGACGTTGTGAGAATTACATAAATTAATATTATGTATAATATTCATGTAAAATATTCATAGTGAAATACTTTTACTTTCCCTTCGTGTTCATTTTCTTCGTTTTGGTTTCTGTTCTTTTCTCTTTTTTACGTCATTTGACGATATGGTGCAACATTTCATCGAGTTACTCTTTGATCATTTTAGCACCGATGTTACCAACATGAAACAAATCTGTGGTGTAAATTCTTATTTTATGTAAAAGAAAATTAGCTTTTAGTTGTTCAGCAGTACGTGAATATGACATTTTCATAAACAAAAGCTAAAGCAAATTTTTCAAATCGGTGAAATACCTTGTAATATCGTATCGAACCGCCAGGTGGAAGTGTAAACCACTCAATACTATATATGTAATCTAACGTATCTTTAAACTACATACAAACTGAGTAAAACATCATACAAACAAAGGAAAACAGTCGTATTTTTAGTTTTTGTTTTCTTTAATGATCACTGACATATCCTTATTTTAAACACAATAAATGGACTCAACATTATAAATGGCAACGACCCAACAAACGGAATCTCAACATTTTCTGTCCAAATATTTATATATATAAAAAAAGAATATGGTTTCCATAGAAATACACCTCTTAAATGTTCAAAGATACAATTTGTATTAAATTACACTTTTCATTATTACAAATGTATACAAGGATTATAATACATTCATGCGTATACAAAGTCACAGAAACACTACATTTATCACATAGCTGCAACAGGTGAATTATGAAAGCAAGAGTTTGCTTGGGCACAATGAGACTTCTGTCTACTTGTTTTTCGATATTCTCATTTTACATATAGACTTTCACACGCTCACAGATGCACGCACACTTCCATTCACACGGAGAACAGCTGACTGAAACACAATTAGTTCTGATGACTTTGATTTCAAACTGTGAAATTGCGCGGGTGAGTCGAGCCGTTCAGAAAGCCAACATTGTGCTAGCGTAATTATGAGTGACTGTTTGGAGCTGGGGCTGAGGCTGTTGGTTCAACGAAGGGGCTGTGAGACGTTTGAGGGACAAAAATCTAAGGCATCTCGTCTGGACGGAGATGCCTTAGATTCAGACTTTCGATGGTTCTGAGAAGTGACGTTGGGTCCTTTCCCTCATCCTTCCCTCCACACCTCGTCTTCTCTGCTCTGAAGAAGGGGTGAGAGCCCACCCCCTCACCACAGTTTCCTCTGCACGGAGCAGGGCCTCACTCTGACACACTGACTCTTTTACCTGATGTGAAACTCCACACACAACGGCACGGCCTTCCACAGCTTTGACTTTTACTACTACCACACAGTAGTCACTTCACTCCCCCTCTCTGCAGCGCTCTCTTTTGGACCTGAACCTAAACTACATTAGATTCATAAATGTAGAGTCTATTTTTTGGATTTGCGATATCTGATACAGATTGTCTTAATGAGGTAGTTAAGGAGGAAGTTATGGCTTTTTTTTATTTATTTATTTTTTTTACAAATTCAGATAAAAGTTGCTGTAGTTGGTTGTTGGAGATCTAGAAAGCCTTAGAAATACAAAAATTAATTGTATTTCTTCTCGCTGCCATTGAGTTGAATCTTAGGCGTGATTCTGTTGTGTGCCATAGTCAGTCATGTGTTCTTTCAGCACAAGCACAAAGACATGAATTATATTTCAGCTTCTATCTTAAATTTAAAAAGTGTTAAGTGACGTCATCTACGACTCATCACTGATTACTTCAACAGAAGGCCAAACAGCTGACTCATGTGTTTTAAATTGAAAAAACCCACAGTTTCTCTTTGGTTCAACTGCCTCAGCTGCCACAGTGTTTACAACTGGTGAAAACCAAAAAAAAAAAAAAAAACCACACAAACACTAGGATACATCATTGACACAATGCAAATACGTACAAAAACACACGGCCAGAGAAAATGTGATGCAGCTCAAATGCTCATGGAGACCAGAGTGATGAAAAGCAGAGCCATGTGTTTAGAATTCTTTAAGCTGTGAAACAATTCTTAAAAAAAAAAAAAATTTAAGAAGGCTATTTTCCCTTCATGGAGAAAAGAAGAACAATTTCAACATAAATTTTAAACTTACAAAGATAAGAAAATGCTACATTTTAAAGCTTGAAAAGTACAACTAAATGTCATAGGATTTGCCAAAATAAATTTACAACCTCATTTGGCAAATAATAATACACTGTAGAAGAGAAGTAGAAGAGAAGTACTGTGGTGACAATTATAAATGGCAACGGTGGAGTGTGTGTGTGTGTGTGTGTGAGCCATATTGACTTAAAGCCTTAGGCATAATTTAGTTTCCACAAACATCTTATCTTGCCTCATTAAAAAAAGTATATATTTTGTCTTTTTAGACGATGATTTTGCATCGTAAATAATAAATAAATAGCCACGTGATAAACATTATTATGATTCTAACTTTTGTCACCCTGTTGCCTGTGGCCAAACCTCCACCGTTAACATTCAAACTGATCTTAGTCACAGACGTGCTGCCAAAACGTTAAAGCTTCGTCATGATTGGTTGTTGACCTGTTGGATCACCTCGGGCTTTTACTGGGCCACGGGGTTAGACCTAGAGGCGTGTGAAGTGTGATGTAAAGCCAGGAATAGCACCTCAGCTCATCAAAACGTCTCGACTTCTGACAAGAGGAAGAGAACGTTCTGAGAGCAGCCGGTCTCTACTCCAGGCCAGTGTGGAAATACACAGAAAAGGAAAGTCTCCAGTAGCATTCAGCCCATCTACTGTTGTTTCCTGAATGAGTGCATAAAAATGATTTCACAGTATAGTTAACTGAGGAAAACAGTATATAGGATATATACAGTATAAACCAAGTATTTATAATGTACAAAGAAAAAGTTTGTAGAGCTTAATGAACTAAAAAGGGGGAAAGAAATGAGCTTCTTTGTGCTAAAAAAAAAAAAGAAGGTATGTGGTGTCTGAGGATTTGTAAGCCCATGCTTTATGAGCTTGTCGAAAGTCAGTTATGAATTGCTACATATATACATACGATATGAGTCATATCTATGTGAGGTGATGAAGGAGGGATAGAGACCAGCACTCCACCATTTTGGGGGTCGGGGGGTGCTCTGTTCTTTTACTGCCAGGAAGTCTTATAAAGCCTCCTCTTCTTCACCTTAAAGAAATCTAAAAAGGGGAGAAATAAAATGAGACACATTTTTTTAAAACTGCTAATTTAAAAAAATCTGTTTGATTTGATTTTTACAAAATAATCCTCTGACTGACCTGTGATGGCAGATTGTTGGCGTTTCCCTGACTGCCTCAGATTGTAGCTCCCCCTCGAGGTCAGCTCCAGGTACTCATCACCAGAGCCAGAGCCAGACGAGCTGGTGGACATTGGAGAAGCCTCGCCTGACGACGAAGACATTCTCTTCATGGGCGTCTTCTTCCCAGCTCCAGATGCCCCTGGTCTCACCAAGCAGCTGTGGTAGAACGCTGGCACATCTTCGCACCGCACCGCCTCCCACTCGATATTAGAGCCCCATCCTGGTTTGTCCTTCTGGAAGTCAAAGTTCCAGCGTTTGTTGGCTTCCTCCAGGGCCACGCTCAGCAACCTCTTCAGGTCCTTATCCAACTGCTGGTGGTCCACAGGTCCAAACAGGTTTCTCCTCAATGGTCCAAGCTTCAGGTTCAGAGCTTTGACTCCTCCTGGGTGACATCGTGCTGAGTCAGACGTCAGAGATGATCCCGTTGTCGATGTTGACGTAGAAGCCATCACCAAATATCTATGAACAAAGTCAGGCTGTTAGAAGAAGGTCAGAGTTTTGGATCTGGATCCATCAGAGTTTCACACAGGTGAGAGCTGAGGTTTTTCATGAGCACAGATATAAAACACACAGACATGCTTTTAGTTCAAATATGGCACACTATGAACTCCTCAGCCCTACATGGGTCTGTCCACCTGCTCTGGTGTCTAAGAGTCAAAGGTCAGATGTAAAGGTCAGCAGAGCAGAGACCTGTGCAGGCCATTCCTCATCTGACTCATCCAATTAGAGCAGAGCTGTAGAATTCCGACTGTGCAGTGGGAAATGACGTCGTTGTCATGTGATCTGTGTTATCTCTAAATAGCACTATTTTACACAGAGGTGGGAATTGCTGACTGGCCTCTGTGTGATATCCTGCAGACACACTTATCAGTACTTTATCAGCTGTGAGTAGGCCGTGAAAGTACATGTATTTTTTAGGATGGGCACCAGACGCAGTAGAGATAAATAGTACTGCTGTAGACGTAGTACAGTACTAAATATAACTCCTTTTAGGACACTTCAAATCAATTGACATTTTATAATTTAAAGACACATGGCATTACAATCAACGTTATAACATACCATTTAATAACTAGGTCAACTGTCAACTAAAGGCCACTGCTGCCATTGTCATTTCATTACAAATTCAGGAATGCAATGAAAAAAGTTTGTGTGTAATACGATAAATACTGTTATATTATAGAGCAAGACAATAGACAATAGACAATAAAAACCAATTTTTGTGCAATTTTTAAATTAGGTCACTGAAGGAAGCCAGGTTTGATGTTGTTTTAAATACTACTGCTAAATTGTATAGTTATTATTGTTGTTTCTTTTAGTGTTTCTAGGTGCAGGTTTATGCTAATTTAGTAACTCTGTAAAACTTAAGAAATGTTGAAATTTTAAACTTAAGACGCCTGAGGAGTGCTTCATATATATACTGTATATGCAGTACATATATATATACACATACACAGTATATATACACCGTGTCAGCCCGAAGACTGGGAAGCTGTGTTTTACACAAAAACAAGGCCAAGAGGGGGAGGTGTCCCAGGGTTGCGCAATTGTTTGACAGAGAAGACTTTCACTACTCACTCGGCTTGTAGTTATTTTCTGTACGGTCTGTGCCCCCCCATATAAACTCTTTGAAACCATGTGCTGAAAACCACAGCAGCTTCACAGCCAGTCAAACGCTAATCTCTAACTGCACGCTGTGGTTTTTAATCCGCATCAATAATACAGTTTCACTTTTCTTTTTTTTTCAGACTCGTTTTGCAGGTGGATGATCAGACAAAAGGATTCGAAAAGATGACGGTTATATCGGATTTCATTTTAAATTTTACTCAGAAGTCAGAACTATTATATATACTGTATATATAATATAATATCATTTTCTGTAAACTATCGAAGCTTTGAGACGAAGAGTTGTTTGCGTAGAAAATAAAGTGGGCGTGGCCACATATGCAGATCAGGTTTCCACCCGGGTCAGTGTGCTCTCCACTCTATATACCAAAACACTAACAGCAGGATCCTTCGTTATTATAAAAATATATATATATATTAAAAAAATACTAAACAAATAAATACGTGGAAATTTCCAACTGCAAACCTCGACCTGATCATGAAACCGACGCTTGGTAACGTTTCCTCGCAGCTTTGCTGTTGTGACGCAGTTACACACTTGCTAAAGATGTGGGTCAATGAGATGCGATGCACTAACCCCGACTTGTCAACGTACAAAAACAGATTCAAAGAACAAAAAAAACACTTATACGTCCGGTGCGATAAAACAAAATCGCCCAATAAATATCAGAGACACGAGAAATATCGCCACATATTGACAGTGGTTAATGGATAGAAGAAGAAAAAAAAAACCCGTAATCGATTAGAACAACAGTAAAACAGAAAACGATCATTTGTAACAGAACAAAATGACAACACAACAAAACACAATTAAATATAATGCGAGACTTATCGACGATCGTTTGACGTATCGGTGAATGATATTGTTACGCAGAATTCTCATCTTACCATCAGCGTTAGTGACTAGAGCAAAGTCCTTCAAAAATCCCCGTTCCGTCCGTAGACTGAGATCCGTCTGTGAGTGAAGAGGTGTGACCCACGTCTCCGTAGAAGTAAACACTGTCACGTTGACTGGTTGTAGTAAACCTACCCACGGGAGGGCTGTCCTCGACGCCTTATCTGCGACTTGTTTGTTATGGAGTTTGAAGGCTTGAGAGTAGGCGGAGGAGAAGGCGGGGTGGAGAGGGACCGGGGTTGGTCACGTGGTTTGGTCAAAACAGTCGCAGCTGGAGTTCAGTCAAAAGGCTGTAAGAAAAAAAATACGCTGCGTTAATACGTAAAATATTTGACGTAACGTCACAACGCCACGTCCACAGATAGGTTAACATAGCCACACTTAGCAGTGTGTAATTAAAACGGTCGCGTTTTTATTAATATTAAATTTTACTATTTCATATTTTTTATTAAATTATTATGATTGATACTAACGTTCATGTCGAAAACGTTCCATGTTTGTAAGTTTTAACTCCGTCGCCGTGGTCTCCTTGTGGCTCGTTCCTTTGGAGAGCAGCTAAAGTAGGTCAAATATCTTGGCAATTGCCGCCATTTCCTCCTCTGCCTCAAAATGTGACACACATTCTCGTGTAGTGCTTGCATCACGTTTTTATTCTGGGCCAGCGCCAACAAACTTCAGTCACGTTGTATTGCAACGTGACCTGAACAGGCAGCCCCATTATGGATTCTGTGGATTTTGCAGACTATATGGAGAGAATTGTAGAAAAAAACAAGGTGGAACAAGCCAGTGCATTCAAACCTATAAAGTTACACAAAAAAATTAAAGAGGTCACCTGGAATTTTTTTTTTCAGGGTCAAAAAAGTTTTGATTGAGCATGTTTTTAGTCCTATTTCAGTGAGACTCCGTGCATCATTTTAACACAAAATTAATATACTATTAGATGAATTACCACAAAATACAGAATTATGGAATTTTTTTTGTAGAAATCATTTGGACTGAAGTTACTGCAATTAACACAAAACTGACAATTGACAATTTACACTACATCTTATATATATGTACAGTTGTTACAGTTATTTAAAAATAAATTATTGCTCACTGACTACACACACACAAAAAAGTAAACTATGGCTGTGAATACAGATGTGCTTAGTTATATTTTCTCAAAATGGTTCTGTTCACACTGGGCTATTTTAGCAATAAAAACACCTCCGCCCCTTACAGCAGAGGTTAATGTGATGTGTGTTAAAATGTCTGCCCGAGGCCACTGTTCACTTGTGTGCAGCATGACAGTCCTGTTTGTAGCAATAACATCAGCACTACGCTTCTTGGTTGGGAAACATGATATTTCCACGTGGCCAGTGCAGCCCCGGGGTGGGTAATAAAACCGAGCAACTACTGTAAATGAGTAAATGGCCATAAATAGAAACATTTGCCTAATTTTCTCAGTCCAAATAATTACAAACATAATATTTAAACTTGATCCCACACATGTGTTAACAGCAGATCTGCTGCAACAGGCTGCCCCTTGCAGGCGCCAAGTTTGTGCTTTTCTCTGGGAATTGAACCCAGCACTGCTCTTTGCTTTGGAGGTAGACATACTAACAGCCACACTATGGAACCACTAAACTAAACATGAACTGTGTTAATGCACTAGTTGCTCAGAAGGTTGTTTAATGCCCTGTTGATCTGCACGTCACATACTGTCACATCTTACAGTGGAAAATAAGGCCTCGGCAGCATAATTAGTACTGTTTTTTTCAGCTGTTCAACCCATATCTGCAAAACATTTTATTGGTTAACATTAAATTCTCGATTGTTTCCCATTTGTTTACAGTGTGTTGCATGTTTTGGTGGGTTGAACCCCACCTTTCGCCCTTAATCCTGCCTTGCTCTGTTACAGTTGGTTATCCAGTTAGTGAGCCTATTGTCTCACTGCCACGGTCAGTGCCCTTTGCACACACTTACATGCCCAGAAAAAAAAACAAACACGTGCGGCAGAACAATGAACCTCTCGTCAGGGGATTGAAGACCTGTCATAGGATGGATTCTTGTGGCATATGGGGAAATAGTCAATAGACAATGCAATGGACACTGCATGTAATTTCTTCAGAGTAAATGGAAAAAAAGGCAAACAACTTACAGCTACAGTAAATATGTGAAGCAACTCATACAGTATAGACAACAGGCCACGAGCAAATCCGATTATTAATCCCATTAGTTTTGTTCAGGTTCAGCAATTAAGAGACCGGTGGCAAAATACAAAAATTTAACTTGTAGTCATCATATAAAGCAGACCTTAGCAAACTGTGGCCCATGGGCCAGATACAACCCACCAGGCTTTCTAATCCATCCCAAAGTATGGTAACGACTAGTTTTTGTTGATACCACTAGGTGGCGGCAGATGTAAAATGTGTCGAATTATCTTTAAAAGTTTAGGTTTATTTCGTAAAATGTGTCAAATTATCTTTAAAAGTTTAGGTTTATTTTTGTACATTTTGTTTATATCATTTCACCTAGCATTCTACATCTAACTGTCCCAACACATATTTTGAACCTCAATTTCGCCCGTGAGCCAAAGAGTTTGCCCACCCCGATATAGAGGGTTTTGTTTTTTCCAGTAAATACTATTATATAATAATAGCTATCTTAAGATTATTTACTTATTCTATTAATTAAAAATTTTCTTACGTAAGGTAAAACATAGGCCTGTTTAGTTAAATGCAATGGTGAAATATCACAGGAATTGAAGAAAGACACACATGAAAATCTTTATAATTCTTTATAAGCTCTCATATTTTTAAAAGTTTTGTAGCCACCTGCTTCACTGTGGCATAGATGAACGAGACAAATTATTTGTCGTAAGTTAATAATAGATTTCAAAAATGGATAATAATTCCTTTATCAACTGTTATCTTTTTTTCGTTCTGCAGTACAGAGGTATGCGGCTCAACCAAAATACCTACCAGCGCAGCTCTTCGTAGTGAAGATGCGCCTCGGCGAAAAACCAAGAGGACGTGCAGTGAGTGACAGGAAGTCTGAGCAGTTAGGAGGAAACTGATGGAGGGAACAGGATGAGCCACAGAGGAGGTGACTGCTGAGGTTGACAGGTGCAGTCAGTGCGGGGATTTCCACATCCTTCTGCTCTTCAGGCGAGGAAGCCATCGTACAGAGAAGGGTTCACCACAGTCTGCAGGCTGCTCACGTCGGTGTCGCTAAAAAGGTGAGCAGGAAAAAAGAGAAACTACCTACTAGCTTTGTGAAGCACTCAAATAGTCCTAGACCTCTGTGTTTAACTGTGAGGACAGTGTTCTTTGTGTCATACACCTCTCCATTACACTCTCACATCAAAGACAGCATCTCTGAGGCCAAAGAGTTTTAGTTTTGACTCCATGTTCCATGTTATTCTTAGCAGAATAGTTTGGATAAGAGTTCCCTCTGTGTTTCTTGACAGTAATTTTTACTTGTCTTAAGGCAACACGATCACTGCTTTGTTTGGAGTTGGCATGTTCTCCTCTTGTCTGCGTCGGATTTCTTCTGGCTTCTTTCCGCAGAACCCCTAGGGTTTGTAATAGTGCAGAAGCTGCAGTTTGCAAAATGAACTGATCCGAATAGATTAGCCTTTGTGGTGCTGGTTTTACAGGAAGTGTGACTTAAAAAGTGAACATATAATTATTAAAAGGATATTTTTGGAAGATGATGTTACATATTATCTTATTTTACTCTTAAAAAGTCATTAGAATACGGGATGTGCCTTGGTGAGTAACGTCCTGGTTTCATTTTGTTGACATAGTATTGGATCCACATGTTCGTCTTTCATCGTCTACAGAGTCGGTGACTGGTGTCAACAGCTGTTCGTCTCTCATCGTCCACAGAGTCGGTGACTGGTGTCAACAGCTCCTGGCATATTTTTCCCAATAACAAAATCAATAAACCATGTTGTTTTATGTTTTTTCTGTGCAATGAGTGTAATAACTGAGTCTTACACCAGTGGTTACAAACCTTGTTTTGGCTTCTGACCCTATCTTGACATCACATATTTCTGGCGAGAATTTTTTTATATATTTATCAGTCATGTGATTGCAGCTATCAATCAAGGTGCATCAACTCAGATATTCTCCAGAGAATTTTTTTATTTATTTATCAGTCATGTGATTGCAGCTGTCAATCAAGGTGCATCAACTCAGATATTTTTATATAACTCAATTTATATTCATGCAAGTGAAAGATTACAGTTGTTTAAGATTGTGTGGGGTGTAATTCTAATTTTAAAAGAATAATAATTAATTCAAAATATTTTCATTTGTAATTTTTTTTATCAATCAGTAGACATTTCAGGCCACCCTATTTAAATTTCAGGTGACCCCATGCGAGGACCTGACCCCAAGATTGAAAAACACGTGTCCTACACGTACCAATACACTACAGTGCTGGGTGGAGAAACTATGGGAGTGTTCGCCCAGCTGTGAGGGCCACAGGTGGACTGATGGGGGAGGGACAGAGGAGTGAACTGTGCTCTGATTTCATATGATCGTGACTCTGCATGAGTGTGTGTGTGGCGGGGGTCTATAAAAGTTTGGGGTGCACAGCCAGGGTGAGAGCACTCACTGGCAGCTGGATATTGTCAGGGGTTCACCAGGGGACCGTGCATGTCAGGGTGAACGGGTTTAAGATGAAATGTGCCTAAAGAGACCCTGACCCAGTGTTTGTTTTGGGGGTGGGGACCTGAGGGACTTGCTTGAGGAGGTCTGGTGTAACTTATATATTTATTTTCCTGAAGTATTGGTGTTCCGTATATGTGTGTTTTCGTTACTTATTCCAGTAATCAGTATCTATTTGGGTATAAAAACAACACACTCTTCACCGTACATGCAAAAAAAGATTAGTTTTAGAGGTTTGTCAACACAGAGCACGTAGTAGCTCCTCCCACGTCCTCTGCAGGGGGTGCTGTAAACACTGTTTGAGTTGTTCAGTTGAGTTTGCTGTTACAACGGTATTGTTCTTTAAAAAAAATATTTGTTAAGCCCTTAGATTAACAAATAGTACCCAGTGGCTATGACAAACACCACTCAGGAAAGACAGGTCTGGGTCAAAGGTTGACACCAGGAGGAGAGCCTGAGGTATTACAACACAGACCCCTCGCACTAATTGTCTCTATGCTTAGTTTTGATGCAGCAACCAAAACTCTGAAAACTTTAAAAATATATTAAAAGGCTTCAATTTGGTACTTTTATTGATTATTTTTTTACTCAGTCTGCTTCGATTAACTGGTTGGAGAAACTTGAATTAACCTGATCAGACATGTATTTTGACTGTGGGTGGAAACCGGGCCTCATAATTACTTTCAGTGACTCAGAGAAATTTGTTATTAGGAAGTTAACAACGAACTCTTCGAAGGCTTGACTGTATGATGAGTTTGTCCCTTCCGCTCCCTTTTTGGTTATTTTGGCTCCAAGTTTGGCGTTAACCATTGTCTTCACTGCCCCCTATAGGTCTTTTTTCTTTCACTTTTTCTTCTACGTGCAAACAAGGGGAAAAAAGCAATGCAGTTTGTATGACTCTAAAGTTGTAGTTTTCTTTTTTGAGAGAATTCCCACACACTCTACTTTTTGGTTTCTCCTTTTGATTGTTTTGATTGTAGCCAGAGGCGGGAGGAGAAGGAGCCTAAAGAGGAGGGATAAGGGTGGGAGGGCGCTTGGAGAAGGGTGTAAATTGATCCACTGTTTTTGTCCCAGCGTCTGTGTCAGAGGGAGACTTGTTTTGGTCCTACAGCACTGACTTTGAGACTAGTTCCCTGTCTGATCCTGAAGTTCTGTGAGCAAAAAATAGGGCAATTAAGATACAAGACCTCCTCCAGCCCCCAAAAGAAGGCAACATAGGGTCTGGTCTGTTTCTGCAGCTGAGGTTAAAACAGAAGTAAGGTGCTGCGCTGGTGCTCCCACCGTTATCTCCATCTGTAGAACATCTGGTTTACATCTGCCCCTGGCCTCGTAGTGTTGGGCCGTGTGCGAGTGTGACAGCATGTGTGTTTGTGAGGGGGAGAGACGGAGGGGAGAGGACATGCAATATATTTGTGAGTTTGGATGTGCGTGCGTGACTGGCTTGGTGAATGAGCAGGGTGAGGAGGGGGTGAGTGAGTGTGAGTGTGTGTGTGTGTGTTTGTATGAGTGAGTAAGTGGTTTCATTACCTGGCCTCAAACCAATCATTCAGCGTTGCTGCCCTAAATCATAAGAATGTAGAGCGGGAAAATCCAAAGTTTTTTGGGACCTGTGACCCTTAGATGGAGATGTATCTTGGTCATGGCTCTATTTTTAAAAAAAAGACTTGGACTTTGTATAGAAATGTTTACGGTTGAAGGAAAAATCGAGCTAATCTTGTTTTGACTGTTGATTGTGAGCAGTGGGACGTAAGGAGCAGAAAGAAGGGAGACAAAAAAGGTAAAGGAGAGGAGGAGAGACGAGGCCTCTAAGTATCAAGAGGGGGAGTTGGTATTTGAGGCCCCAAAGCTGGGGGCCCATCATATGCTAAGGGGGTCAGTTGGGCTTAAGTATAATCTAAGTGCAAGAAGAAAAAAAAACATGGAAATGTGTCGTGTTTGGAACTTGGGGAAAAAAAACATATTGTTGAAGGGATTGACTCGAGAAAATGTTGTAACTGAATGAGCAGCTATGTGGAAAGTGTGAAGTGAAATGCTCTTAAGACATGTGACATCTGTCAGGTGCACCTGCACGTGCATGTTGACTTGTCTGACCAGTGTGGGACTCACAGGCACAGCTGAAACTTCCAGGTTGAACGAATGTGTCTTTAGATGGAATTCTGCCTCACCTTTTTAAGTTTAGCTGTTCAGCTCTTCAGCCCGGGGTCTGCAACCCCTGGTTCGGGGACCGGTGCTGGTCCATACATCATTCTGGCTGCATTGAGACATGGTAAAATAAATATACTTCAGTTTTACTAACTTACTTAATTCAAAAAGATTCCAGTCATATCCTTTTACTTTTTTTATTAAAAGATCATCTGAGAATGTTTTTAAAAAAATTTTAAAAATCGAATGATCCTTCAACAATGGTGGCTGATACCGGCCGACCGGTCCTTGGTACAGAAAAGGTTTGGAGCCGCTGTCTTTAGCATCACTGCTCTTATGCTGTTATTATGGTATATATCCTCAGCTTCACTAGTCATTCCATCAAAAATCTTAAAAAAGGCTTCTGTAGCAGTTACACCAATGTGCATCCCAAAGATAAATAAGTAAAAAAAATAGCCAAACAAAGTTAGTCTAACAAATAAATATATATAAATAGGACAACAAAGAAACCTGTCTCTGTATGTGCCCTAGTTATGGACTTGAGAACCGTTCTGCCTGTACTCCAGTCTCACCTAATGACTGCTGGGATTGGTCCCACCCATTCCTAAACTGCAGAAAGTAAAGAAAACATATGAAGGTCTATAGTGCAGTCTGGTGAAAAAAAAAATCCTGCAGTAGCTTTTAAAATAATATATCTAACAGGAGCATCAATCCACTTGTACGCTCTCAGTTCTAGGAGAAAGATTTGTTTTTCTTCCCTCCCTGTGTGGACTTGAGTCTCAAGACAAGGAAGCGAGTGTCCGTCTCTAATGAGGCCCCACGAGAGACAGTTCCTCCATTCCTATGTAAATGTGGGCGTGTATGTGTGTGTGTGTGTGTGTGCACACATGTATGTTTGTATGTATGTGTGTGTAGGACGTGGGGGAGGAAGGGGTGACATATCTGGATAAGATTCCTGGGAGCTACGATCTGGAACAGTGAGCCTCAAGTGGCTGGTGTTGGCGGAGGATGGATAGTTGGAGGGAGACCTCAACTAATTTGGCCTGGGGTTTATGTGTGTGTGTGTGTGTTATTGCATGGAAGTAGAGGTCAGAATTATGAGCCGTACTGAACTGTTAGTAAGTCGTGTACAGTTTTAGCAGCAGCTGTTTAGAGAAGCTATCAACAAGTTTCAGGCCGGTCTCCAGGGACATGATAGCTCACTTGTCTTTCCTGAAAGTGTTCCCAGAGTCGAGAGTCTTTAGATAATTCCTCCATATTTGTATTGTATTGTAATGTTTGGGAATATTTTTCCACTAGTTTCCAGTTGTTTTTCAGTTCATGGCGGCAGAACGTGACCTAGTTTTGCTGCTGATAGCTCTAAGTTTTCAGCTTGAGCACTTCTCTGTTTTTTCCCCCCTCTCTTAGAAGACTCTCTCTTCTCTTCTTTCATAGCTGGACTTTTTGAAGTCTTTAATTCCATGTTGTGAGGTCAGTTGCTGGTGGTTTGTCCGTTAGTCTAGAGCAGTGGTTCGCAAACCAAAGTAGGTCAAATACATGTAAGACAGACTCTATGAATTTACCTTGCTCTAGTTTGGTGTCACAACTGTAGTGTTGTTTGGGTCCTTAAAAAGAAGCTCCCCATGCGTACCGTTAGTGGTCCACATACCATAGATTGAATTTAACAAATCTAGAGTCTTTAGTCAGAGCTCGTACTTTTTGTGGTTTTTGTCTAGATTAGTCGTGTAGTGTGTAGAGTACTTTAATCTTCTTGTTCTTTTTGTGTGTGTAAAACTGTAAAAAAAAACCTTTTACATTTATGAGTTTTGTTTATTCTTCAACGTGATGCAAACAGAGCGAACTGAGAGCCAGGCAGCAAATACTGTGTGAGCGTCTGTACGAGCGACGAAGGAATGAGACAGGAAGCATCGAGGGGCCCACTTTCAGCCACAAAGTAGTAGCGGAGACCCAAAAGAGTGTGTACAGAGAGGAAGTGGCATAGTACAACTTGTGTATGTCTGTATACAAACAGCATGTAAACCCGAGAGTAGACCCGACCGTCGGGGTGGTCAGATAGAGCTCGTACAAAGGTATTGAAACTACAGTGTGTGTGTGTGTGTGTGTGTGTAGCGAGGAACTTCCCTCTGAGGGGTGCCCCCCAAAGAGGAAGCTCATCGTGATCTTGTTTGCATCTTGTAACAACAGTGAATAGGCCGCTGATATGACAGGGGCTTCAGTGTGTGTGTGTGTGTGTGT